TCTTCCATCTTGGTTTTGCTACTTTGAAGCTTAATGAATTTGTAAGTTGTGAGTTATTTTCTTTAATCTTCTTCCTTGAATATTAATTCTTTCTTTCAAAATACTATCTCTATATCAAAGTTGGGGAGTGTTACTAAGATGACAATTAGTTAACATCTTGACATTGGTTATAGTAATAGCTATTTCTTCCTCTATGATAATATTGGGGAGTGTTACTAAGATGACAATTAGTTAACATCTTGATATTAATCATAGTAGGATTCATATATTTTAATATTCTTCCTTGAGTATTGATTAATTCCTATTCATATTTCATGTTAATATCTTAAACATTACTTAAAGTATCAACTAGTATTGTTTCTCATATTAATTATTACTAGAATCAATCGGTTAATACGCTTGTTATTAACCCGGTTCTTTCAACGGTAGTAAACTTGGAATATTAATGCATGCATCTCATGGTTGATATGCCAAGGGGAATTAATTATATTGATTAAACCAATAAACCGCTTGTGTTGAGGTTATCAATCTCAATCGTTTTCATCTTAAGTTTATTGCTACTATCAAGTTAATATACGGCGCTTGTTCTATATTGACTCGATAGTAAGTTTTATTAATGAACGCATCTCGTTATTAATAACTACCCTCGATGAACTGGATATACTCCTCGATTGAGTATTCGAGAGGAAGATAGTTAAAGATATAACCGGGATCGACGAACATTTCATTAAGTGGATAAAAGCAAAACCAAGTCCCCATCTCATTGAATTAAACTCATATAGGTCGTTTATCTTAGTGTTATTAAACCAAACAAATCTAAACCCCCCTTGTTATTATTTATATAAAAGAAAAAGTATTTCTTTCCCTGTGGATACGAACCTTACTACACTATACTACGTATTAGTGTTGTATTGATTATTTATTTTGAGTGCACCTAACGACGAGTGCACGTCACTCACCAACCCCTCGGCGCTTTGATGAGGAGCCCCACCAGCTCCTCCCGAATGGTAAAATGGGCTATCTTCCTAAGCCAATACAACATCGATATTCGTCTGAGGCCCGCCATCAAGGGCCAAGCCCTAGCGGACTTCGTGACGGAGTGCACGGCAAGATCAGCCACGGACGAGGAGCCCTCGGCTCCCTCGGACGATTGGTGGACCCTCTACACCGACGGCTCCTCCGCTATCAAAGCATGTGGAGGAGGGGTGGTTCTCATCTCACCCGAAGGCTTCCGGGCCTATTATGTAATCCGCTTCTCCTTCAAGGTCTCCAACAACGAAGCCGAATACGAGGCCCTCCTCTGTGGCCTTCGGCTGGCAGCTAACATGAAGGCCGACACATCCACGTCAAGTGCGACTCCAAGTTAGTCGTCGGCCAAATTTCCAGGGAGTATGAAGCCAAGGAAGGAAGAATGAAGCAGTACAAAGAAGCGGCCAAGGAGTTGCTTAAGGTATTTGAGGCACACTCTCTTACTCAAATACCGAGGGCTCAAAACTCCGAGGCCGACATTTTATCGAAGCTCTTGGCCGAATCCGCTGAGCATATCTCAAAGATTGCCAAAATCGAGGAGCTCAGTCTCTCCAGCATACATGTTAGCCCCGTTATACACATACAACAAAGGCAAGAGGACCGGATCTCAGATATCGTCGCCTTCATCACCACAGGGCAATTGCCCGAGGATGAGGCCCGTGCCAAGCTAGCAAAGTTGAGGGCTCCCAGCTACACCATCGAGGACGGAAGGCTTTACAAAAGATCATACAACGGGACGCTACTTCGGTGCCTTCATCAAGATGAAGCCGAGGTCGCGATGGAGGAGGTGCACAATGGCACTTGCTCAGCTCACCAGGGACCCTTCTCCATGTCCCGAAGGCTCATAATCCAAGGCTACTTTTGGTCTACAATGGCTCGGGATTGTGCGGATCTCGCCCGAAGGTGTACCGCATGCCAACACTTCCAGAAAGCCCCCGACAAGCCAGCGGTCAACTATGCCCCCATCAACACATCCATATCCTTCGCTCGATGGGGCATAGACCTTGTGGGCCCTCTGCCGAGGGGTACCTCCAACAACAGGTACATCATCGTCGCCATTGACTACTTCACCATGTGGGTGGAAGCTGAGCCCCTCACAAGCATCACCGAAGCCAAATGACGTCATTTTGTTCTCAAGAACATCCTCACAAGGTTTGGCGTCCCCCAGCAAATCATCTCCGACAACGGGACTCAATTTAAGGCAGCCCCCTTCTGTGCCCTCCTAGAGGCATGGGGCATCAAACACACCTTCTCCTTTGTTGCCTACCCTCAGGGCAACGGCCATGTAGAGAACGTTAACCGGATCTTGCTCGAGAGCCTAAAAAAGAAGGTGGAGGCCGAAGGGGGGGCTGGGTAGAAGAACTCCATAACATCTTATGGGCTTACCGCACCATTTCCCCCAGGGATTGGCAGGCGTCTAATATGCCCAGGATTCGACTTCCAAACTGAATCGCTTCCCTCACCACTACCCCAAGGATGTGGCAGGCCACAGACTATGTCTGGCGCCGAGGGGACGACTTTCAAAACGGATGCGCTTTCCGTGCCATCTCCCAAGGGGAGGCAGGCTACAGACTATGTCTTATGACCAGGAAACAACCATCGATCCCCTCGGAACTCGGAAGGTTAATCCGAGGGGGGAGCTAATGGTGTATTCTATTGCCTCCCGATAGGCCCAGCCTTACCAAGAAACCAAGTTTCTTGAAGCCTTCCCTTCACTACCCAAAAAAAATAACGAGGGGGTGAAGGGGAGTAGACTCAGCGAGAAATCAATGAGTTCACAACTTCAACAAATCACAACAGAAAATCCTTCGGCATTACAAGGAATCTCAACATCATACCGATGGCTTCCCCACGGGAACACCTCCGGTGCATGGGAGTAGACCTGCACAAACACGGGCTCGGGCCGGGCTCGGGCCGGGCTTATTCTAAAAAATCTGCCCACTTGTAGTGGGCGGGCCCGGCCCGGCCCGGTAAAACGGGCCTCCTCATATGTCCAAGCCCGCCCATGAGAGCGGGCCGGGCTGCCCACCGGGCTTTTGGGCCCGGAAAATATCCTTTTGTCAACTTTGTTAAAAAAATGAAAATATTTATAAAATAACATCACAACATTTTAAATGCAATTAAATAAATAATGTACTCACAACACATTTTGAACACAAGAATACGTTTAAATGCGAAACACAAAACGATTCTGGAAAATAAAAAGCATCCAAATTCCAAATAAGCATCCATATTCCATAATTAAAAGCACAATCACAGATTCACAATGTGCAGCGGAAATAGTCAAGAGTATCTCCAAAAAGATTTAACAAATGTATATCATTACAGTTCAAATTTAAATAGTAGAACACAAAAAGTAATTGGTATCCCAAGATTCCAAGAACTTCTCGACATTCCTTCATTTCACCAGAAAGTAATTGATCTCCCAGACTGCTCTGCCAAATGCCAATAAATATCAAATAATGAAAACCAAATATTATTTATAAACCAAGTAAAAACATTGAGATAATGAAAATAATGGAAAATCATGACACTTGTGAATAATGACATGGTAATGAAATTATACTTCCAAGTATTTTAAGTTTTATACGTATAGTCATATAATGTATAATTATATATAGAATAATATATAATATCATATGTTTACGGGCCGGGCTTTTAGGCCCGACCGGGCCTATATTACAACCCAAGCCCACCCATATTTTAAACGGGCCGGGCCGGGCCCGGGCCGGGCCCGGGCCGGTGGGCTAAAGCATGTGTCCAAACCCGCCCATTTATATGGGCGGGCCGGGCGGGCCGGCCCGGAATTGTGCAGGTCTACATGGGAGCTACTAATCCCCGAAGGCTACTATTCAACAGATGTCATCAACAAATGGACAAGTCACTGCCGCCGAAGGCCCTAATCCAACTAAAGGAATAGAATTGGCTAAGTCCACTCAACAACATTTCAAGCAGCAGTTGCCCTCGGCATTTTCACTAAAACACCGAGGGAATGCGCCCAAACATTTCCTGAGGGTGTCTATCTTTTCGTACGATACTTGGACTATGAACATTCCTAAGTCCACACTGGGGGAACCTGACAAATCTCGAAGGCCCATATGCTACTCAAGGAGCGACCTACATATCACCGAAGGCCAGTGCTCACGGATCAAAGGAAACTATCCTAGGGTGGGTGCCCCCGGGATTACCGTCATGACCGAGGGAGGTCTCACCTAAAGAGGCTACAACCCTGAAGGCTCCCCATGCCGAAAGGCCATCCCACGGAGGTCACCAGGACGCTCCTACCCCATGCAAATCGGGGGGGTTACATTACTCAAAGGCCACTTGGTGAAACAACACTTAGAATTATTTTTTTCTAAGTTCTGCATATTTGGCCCTCGGTCAAGTATTCTCACGTCCAGAGGGGTCAAATGACCGAAGGCGTGGTACTGAACAACACTTAGAAAAAAATTTCCTAAGTCCTGAATGATTTGCCCTCTGTCAAGTCAAGGGTCAACCGAAGGCACACCTACAAGAAGGCTCTCACATTCACTTGAAGGCTCCTATCTCATAAAACTACACTTAGAAAAATTTTCTAAGTCCTAAAAATTGGGCCCTCGGCCCAATCATCATGCATTTGAGGGACCATGGTAACTGAAGGCAACAGGATGGACTACACTTAGAAAGATTTTCTGAGTCCTAATTGTTTGGCCCCCGGCCAGTACACCATACAAGCATACATTCATACACAAAGGAGGGAAAAGACGAAGGCATACATTTAAAGGGAAAAAGCAAACTCATATACAAAAAGCCCGAAGACAGGCATTCATCCATTCAAAAAAAGACCATGAAGTAATATCAAGGGAGTTCTGTTACAAAGGCCGAAGCCGGAGGCTAAAAGTATCAATACAAGGGAGTATCATTCAAAATTCTATAAGTACAAATCATTCAACTTGGTTCCCTTCGGCAGCTGTGGAGGTGACCTCTTCCCCGACGGCATCATCAGCGTCACCATCGCCGGATCCCCTCATCATCATTGAATCATTGATCACTGACCTCTCTTCGCCCGGGGGGAGGGGAACTCTCACGTCCGGCTGCAATGGGGGTAGGCCATATACCGACGGGTCAAACTGCTCGAGGGAGATCCCGAAGTGCCTGGCAAGCCTCCGGTAGATTAGATGCTGGGTGAAGAACTCACCCCCTGGTAGTAGCAGTCGCCTCTCTCGGCCAACCATTCCTTACCAGGGCCTTCAACCTAGGCATCTATCTTCTTCTACACCACAGAGGAGACCCATTCTTCCCTCTCAGCAGCCTCCCAGCCCTCGGCGACGAAGGCATCAACAGCAGCTCTCTCGACTGCAGCCACGGCCTCGAGTTTTGCCTTCTCCGCCTCGACATCAGCTTTCTTCGCGTCCTTCGCGGCAGCCATCTCAGCTTCAGCTTTCCCCTCGGCCCGGGCCTCCATTCTGACTGCCTCTAGCTTCAGCTCCATTTGCCGAAGGGCCTCCTCTAGCATGCACGTCTCCCGAAGGGAGGCATCTTTATCGTGAATGAGTTTCTTCCGGGTCTCCTCCTGTTCGGCCTTATGAAGGCGCCATGCCTCCAACCTCCGCGCTTGCTCACCGAGGGCTATGCAAGCCTGAAACACAACAAGCAAAGGGGGTTAGACAAGCACATGCTAAGTATTGAAACAGGAACGAAGAAAAGGTACTTACAGTGAGCGAAGACCGGAGGATCTTATTCTCAAGGGCCTCGTCGTCATATGTCTCGAGGGCCCTCCTGTCCAGGGGCGAGGTTATGCTTCCCAAGAAAGCCCTCGGCTCAATCGTGTTGTGCATCACGGCGGTCCCCTTGATGAGGGGAATCTGCAAGCTCTCCCTAGGGAGGTCGGAAGGAGCCGTCAGCACACCAGCGACCGGGGACTCAGAGGATGATTGCTCCTCGATGATCACTATGGGGGCCGCCTTCTCAGCGACGTCCCCAACATTCTTCTGCTTCTTGGTCGGAGGGCTTTCCCCTTTCCCGGCCTTCTTCTTCTTCGTGGCCACATCGGTCGGGGGTTCCCTGACTCCTTCGGCGGCAGCGGCAGCGGAAGCAGCAGAAGGCTCCACATCCTTCTGGAAAAAAGCCTCTACGGGCTTTTGGCCCGAGGGCTTCTTCTTAGGCTGGGCCTGGCTCTTCTTCTTCTTCATAGAAAAGAGGGCATCCGCATTCATATTTGCACCTGCAACATAACAAGGAAAAATTTAAGACCGAGGGGTCGGAAATACAAAAGAAAACACAACCAAAAAATCCTAAGTACAAAATGCAAAGCCCTCGGTTATTACCTCCCGCTCCCCCGAAGGCCCTATCCAAGATTGGGTACTTTTCATCTGTTTCCTCCGGAAAACGGTACCGTCAGAACCCGAGAGCAGGCAAATCCTTCTCGAGGGTGCACTCCTTGATCGCCACGTTCTTATTACTCCCCTCCGGGATCTTGGCGAGTATAAGGCCATCTTTCTCGAGGGCGGCGTTCATCACCTTCTCATGTCGCCTGAATCGGTTTCGCAACTCCCTCGCGAATGGACTCTGGTCTAGCTTGACATAGCACCACCGCTCCTTCCACCCTTTGTTTGAGGAGGGCGCCTCGGTAAATAGCTTCCAATAAGCTATCTGGTGCAGGTTCGCGAAGCCCTCGGCATTCGCGTGGCCTCCCCGACAGAGATTGAAACTCTGGAAGAATAAGTCCAAACTGGGGGCCACCCCCTTGAGCCGGCAGAGATTCAAGAACCCGGTAATGTATGAATGGCTGTTGGGGGTTAGTTGGCAAGGGACTAGGCCAACGCACCTGAGATATTCCCGAAGGAAAGGATGCAATGGTAACCTAAGGACCATGGAAACCGAGAGTATATGGACTGCTATACACCCTTCGGGGGCTCGGGACAAGACGTCTTCGGGACCTGGTTCCACCACCGTCGCCGAAAGCCCCACATGCAGCTGGGTGACATAGAAATCTTCCCTCTCATCCTTCGACGTTATCTCGAGGGCGGCGGTGTTCAGAAAAGAATAGCCCTCGGGCATATCAACGGGTTTTCCTTGGTCAGCAACCCTGCCCTTCTTTTTGGGAGCGGCAGCCTTTGTTTTCTTCTTCTTCCCGGGAGCCACCCTGAGAGGCGTCGGGTTCAGCGCCCGGGAGCTACACGCTTCACCGGCATCGCGAGGGGGTAGAATAGCGACAGTCACCCTCATTCTCTCCTTCTCCTCTTCCACCTCAGCAGTCTGCATAGCGAGGGCGAGCTCCTCGTTCTCCATCACCTGCTCGAAGTCCTCGGCCTCGGCTTCGATGACGAGGACCTTCTGCATCACCATAGCCACAGCAACATCGTCACCAGCCGAGGGCTCGCTTATGGATTCCACATCTGAAACCACTTCACCATCAATCGAGGGCTCCCTCGAGATGTCTTGAGTATCGCTCTGGGATGACATTTCTTACACTAAAGCAGAAGGGTTTCTAAGACCGAAGGCTTACTAAAACAACTCTAGCACTTTGCCTAAGGGCGAGATAGCAAAATAAATGCTAAGGAACTCAAGAACAAAGGGAACAACTGACCTCGGGGAGCTTTGATTTTGTCTGAGGGGGACTTTCTCTCTCTAGAAATCAAATTGCCAGAGCTTCGCTGCAATGATCGCACAAGGAGAACAACCCCTGGCCTTGCGGTATTTATAGGCGCCCAGATCCGGGCTTGGGCCCAAAAACCGGGCCTCCAGTTACAAAATCATCATTACATACCGTCGTTTCACCCAATCGGTGATGCCCGCCCGCGGGCAGCCAACGGCCACGCACCACGTGTACTCCCCCTCCAACGGTCATATTACAACGGCTATATTCTGGGAACCCGAGGGCACGCCCTCGGCAGACCACTCCTTCATCAACCAAAAAACTAGCCCCCGGGCTTTCTCCTTCACTCCACTTCATCAAGAGGAGCTCCCGGGTTCACAACGGGCACACCCCTCGGGAACACTCAGCCCTCAAACACATTGAGGACCACGTAACCCCCGGGGAGCACACCTTCATCAACAATTACCCCCGGCTACGCAACAAGGAAACCCCTCGGGACACCACAGCCCCCAACTTATCAACAAACAGGGGACCCCTCGACAACACAAGAAATATCACCTACATTCATCGCGCCCTCATTCCCATGAATTGAGGGATCCCCTTCGGCATCTCCTAGGATAACAACAGCGTGCCTTTGGCAAAGCAACACGTGCGCCCTCAGACAAGGATAGCCTTCGGCAAGAATACTGCCACACATTTCAGACCAGGGTTTCACCTTTTCGATTCATCATTGGGGGAATTCGGTGCACTCTTTTTCCCTCATTAGATTTTTTCGCAAAGGGTTTTTTCTAATGAGGTTTTTAACGAGGCATCCCCCCAAAATGAAACGAAAAGCGTCGCCCCTCGGCTCCATATTGCAGGCAAGCACTACTCTACTCCTTTTCACCACTTTACAAGTGCCTCAAGGAGTGGGGGACTGGAGAACCCCTTCGGGGAAAATCTCAAAAATACAAAAATATCAAAAAACTCCCACGACGGCAAACATGATCCCTCAAGTCCCGAAATGTGGGTAACTGAGGGACTGCCCTCGGCAGAAACATGCAAACAACGAACTACTCACAAACTTTACAAACTACAATGGAACAACGACAGAGGAAAAACACAATTACTCTTTTTCCCTCAAGTACCTTTCGGCAAAAGGAGTGAGGGACTCGTGATGGAGTATATGGCCCAGGGACCCCCGGCCCATAGACTCCTACTTCTCTAACCAAGGCCCAATGGGCCCAGGAAACACAACAGGCCCAAATCACAGCGCCCCGAGTACCAAGCAGCCAACAATGCACACTGGGGGTGCCTTCGGCCCCTTGGCCGAAGGCTCCAGATACTCACAGAAAGGCTATTTTTAGCATACAAAGTTACTGGGAGAAAACGGCGAAAAACAGTAGCCCTCGGCACCTGGAGCCCTCGACCTTAAGGGGCCTTCGACAGGAAGAGCCCTCGGCTAATCATCTACAGCCGAGGGTACCTTCCTCGACAAGAATATCCTCTCCACATGCGCCTGGGTCGTCGTACCAAGTACAACGTCACATCCAACCGCCGCATTAAATGCGGCCACATGCGAATGCCAGTGACACCCGGGTGATGTGACCCCTCGGCCGTTGGATGCTTGACACGTGTCCCCGTCTCGCATTTATTGCTACTATAAATAGCACCCCATTTCCCATTTTGTAAACCAGATTCTGAATACGCTTTGAACTCATATATTCAATACACTTTCTCTCTCTTACTTGCTCTGACTTCTCTCCAGTTACTCCCCGCAGTAACCCTTAGGATACATACCCCCGGATAGACTATCCATCAAGGCGTATCAACCAGCTGACGGATAGTATATCCGGGGATACCGTTGAGGGGTATCTAGAGAGAGGTCAGAACAAGTAAGAGAGAGAGTATGTATGTAATAAATGAACTCAAAAGTGTTCGATCCTTTACAATGAAGAATTGACTGCTATTTATAGCAGCCATAAATGTTAGGCGCATTTAATGCGGGTACACGTGTCAAGCAATCAACGGTGGAGGGTCAACTCGACCAAGGTGGTGCCGGTATAGCATGTAGCACCGCATTTAATGTGGTGGTTGGACGTGACGCCGCATTTAGCGCGGCGATTAAGGGCGTGTAGAGAGGAGATCTTGTCGGGGTTAGTGCCCTCGGCTACATGGACCTGGGTGTTGTATGTGCCGAAGGCTGTATATGTCGAAGGCTGACGTTTTTTGCCTTGGATTCCAAGTTGTGTTTCTGGACTAGGTGTGATCGCTTTCCTGAATATGAAGCCTTCGGTCATGGGGTCGAAGGCTCTACCCTGTACAACATGGGCTGACCGGACTCTTGTCTGCTGTGTTTGGGCCACTTGAGCCTGTTGGGCCTGCTTGCAGTAGTGGAAATATGTGGACGAGGGGTTCCTGGGCCATATACTCCATCACCAGCTTTTTCACCAAACACATAACTTTTGATTTCGCGCGTTGATTGTGAAATACGGAGTAATAAGAAAAATTATGGTCGAAGTTACTTTTCTGGCTGTATTGGTTGAAGTTATCGTTGAGGATCATTTTAGCTACTCCGTATTTTCCATACTTCGTATAATTTTTTATTTTATTTATTAATTAACAAATATTTTCAAAATTTCAAAAATTTCACGGAATCAACCAATTCAACTACTTTAGGTGTTACCAAATACGCTCTAAATACCCGCACGGGTAGCTCAGTTGGTCGAGTGGTGGGAAAATTGAACCAAGTGACCAAGATTCGAAACTCGCAGCGGCCGTGTGGAGGTTACAGAACCTGAAATAAGGCTGGACCTCTAGTGCGCACGTGTATAAGATCTACCGCCGCTTTGGTGACTGAATCACCGTGATTAACCTTTTGGACCAAATAAGCTCTAAAGAGATAAAAAAGTGTTGCTATAAAGGTAGGCCCTCTTAGGACAGTATTTTCCCCCTCATTTTAAGTGCTCCCTATATATGTATGTGCCAAAATAGAAAGAAGTGCTATTCAAAGTAAGTGACAAAAAGCAGAGGAACAGAGTTACCCTCTTCATATCGTCGCCTTCTTTTCTCTCTCTCTCCATAAACGAAGGGACACAATTTACGGAATTAATTAGGATGAAGCTATTTTTTTGTTCATCACTCGTAATATTGTTCTGTTTTCTTGATTTCCCGGGCACCACTTCTTCGGAAGACCGCCATGACTTGCCATATTTGACATCCTCCCCCACCTCCGGCGGCGGCTTCAACAAGTCCCCCGAGAACATCCTGCGGAATCAGTCGTTATCACTGCCGTGGAGGGATGTGGCGACGTCCAGCTGTCAGGAAGTGTGGAGCAGGACATGCTCCGATGAGCTGTTGAGGGTCGCCGGAGAAAAGGAGAACGTGGAGTGGATAAAGTCGGTGAGGAGGGCGATCCACCGGAACCCGGAACTGGCTTTCGAGGAATACGAGACCAGCCGGCTTGTTCGGGAGGAGCTGGATAAGATGGGGGTTCCATACGACTTTCCCTTAGCCGTTACCGGAATCCGGGCGACCGTCGGGACCGGCGGCCCACCGTTTGTCGCTCTCCGGGCAGATATGGATGCGCTTCCCATTCAGGTGCCTTGTTTATATATAAATTCCTTCAATTCAATCTTAATTTCTTATTACGTGTATATATTAAGTTGAGGCCAGGTTGCATGCATGGTTGTATCCCTGTGAAGTACTCCGATCCACCACTTGTACTTGTTTAATTTGTACTGGTTATATTACCTCCCACCTACAAAAAAAAATCCCCCAAATTTTATACTTTTACGAAAATATTTTTAAAAATAAACATTTGATGTAATTTTTATATTCAAAATAATTTCGTATTAAAAAATATCCATTGTTATCGAATAAGAAAAGTCAATTTGGAGGAGTATTTTTGTTTCATGTTGGAGTAGTTAATTAAATTAGTATCTATACTCTGTAACTTTTTTTATTTCATTAATAATTTCATCCTAAATACGGAGTACGTAGTATAGTTTTTACTATTCTATCATCGAATGGATTCAATC